GCAAAATATCAAACATGCACATAGTATTCCTACAAGAATATTGCCTTAATATCATCAGTATTAACACTAAGCTTATTCCTCCCCAAAATTCAATGAGTTATGGTTCCACCCTCTATATGTATTAGTGTTAGTGGTAATATGCAAAACTGATTTCGTTTTAAAGGTTAAGTAGCAAATTGACTTTGCATTTGGTGGCCAGCTGTGTACCCTAATTTTTCATCTATTTTCTTAATACATTTAATTACATTTCATAAGCCCTGAGATAACCTGCCAATGATTCTATACTTTTAATCTATACTTTATTCTACTCAGTTTGAACCCCACATAATAAGCCTTTAAAATTATTTACAGATGGTTGTAACAGATGGTTGACAAAATTTACTACTTGTGTAGGTAAGACTGATACTATGGTCTTTAAGAGTTGCATATTTTATGTGCGCTTTTAACTTGTTAGAAGCAAGTCTTAAAATGACATCTATAATTCTGTCAGAAAGCAAAGTGCTTTTCATTTTGCTTACTTCTATATGTGTGGCCAGATTCATTTTCTTTTTCCTCCCTTGTAAAACAGCTATTTTTTCCTTCCCCAAATATTAATACTTGTCTTCCAACTGAACAATTGCTAAAAGGAACTTAGCATTTGCACAGCACATTGATAACTATAGTGCTTAGCAGATAAATATGCCCATAATAGGCATCTGATACATGTTGGTTCCACATGGAATGAGTGAATTGTAAGGCAGCTGTTTGAGTCACATACTCTTCATCCTATACTATAACTAATTTTGTTTAACTAGGAAATTCAGTTTAACAGATTTAATTCACCCTCAAGTGTAAATCCAAAAAATTGAAATTAAAAGCAAATTGATTTGCTAATTCTCAGATAAAGTAAACAAGTTAATCATAGTTGTTACTATACTATTAGTTGATAAAAAAAAAATTACTTTCCACTAAATATTATGTATAACTCAGAGAGGGGAAGAAAGTTTGAAAAAACTAAAAGATGTAAGCTAATTATCATTTTTTCCACATTTACCCTTGTAGATTTTTTGTTCATATATTTATTTCTGTTAACTTCTCTAGCTGAAAGAGAATTTTATTATCTGAATAGAGTACCCCATCATCACCTTAGGTACAAAATATTAGTGAAAAGCTGGTGTAAATGTAAGATTGTATTTGTATATCATACCATATTTCTGCATTTATATTTTGCTAGAATTCAATTTTTCTGATTTATATGATGTTGTATAGAGAATGAGATAATCTGCCAATAACTATGATATTGCTTGCTTATAATATTCAGTTTTTGTTGGTAGCTCTAAAGCATATTGCACGCTTGTCATCTAGCACACTAATAAATAACTATTACTCTTTTTTTGAAAGGATACACTGGCAAATTCTTAAGTTAATGGCTTTAGCCCAACATTTTTAGTCAGTTAAAGAACAATAGCAATGGCAAAAACGTTGACAATACAGTTCATGGTACGGTTCTCCCATCTTACAGTACAGGTTCCTGAAATACAAATAAAAGGATTTTGAAATACCAGCAAAACATAAAAATTATCAGGGAGTATATATATATATATATATATATATATATATATGGGGAATATATATCAGGAAATACATATATTATCAGGAAAATATATATATATACATGTTTTTCACATGTTTTAATATTTTATTTCCTTCCACCTGTTAAGTCTTCACATTTCATATCAGTCTGAAGGTATACTTGTTACTAGGTACAAAGCAATACTGTTGATAGTCTTTTTAGAATTTAATTAGAATTAAATATTTGATTAAAAAGGGCAGTTTGACTTTGCTAAAAGTTGGATTTTGTGTAAATCAGCTTAAGGTCTCTTACCATCAGATGTGGTATCCCAAAAACAGGAGCTGGCGGTGTGAAAGCCATATGCACTCTTCTGGACCACTGCACAGGTCACTGCAAATAAAGTCACAGAATGAGGACACTTACAGACAAAGAGAAAGAGAACCAAAGTCAAAGTGTGTTGAGTTCAGAGCTCTACAAGCTGTAAAAAATTAAAATAAAATAAAATACAGAAAACAAAGCATTCAGCAAATAGATTGAAAAAAATAAAAGACTATCGTCTTATCTACCATCATGATTTTGACCCCATTAGATTCAGTTGGTTTTTTTTAACCAATGTCGTTACCATTGGTGATTGTATTGCAGGAAAAAATATCAGTCAAATTCTGTGCTTTGTACCATGGGCAGGATTCAGACACAGAAATGCAGGAAATATTCCACTTTATAAACAGTTGCTGTGTTAAATTTCTTACAGATAAAGAGGCATGGGACTACTGAAAGAAAGAGTTGGGCTAAGAGGGTTTCAGTGGAAAGAGAGAACTGATGCAAATGCAAAGGGTGATGCTACGAACGACAAGTAGCTGAAACTGTCTTTGAGTAGTGAAAGATCTTCATCTTTTAAGTATTATTATAGACTATCTTTGAATGAGTAAATCAGAAGTCCTTTATATCCTGTTAGTATCCAACTTAAATGTCTATTGCTCATATACCTTCTCAAAATTCAGAGACAATCACAATGTCAAAGGCAAGTGAACTAGTGAGGAAGGATACGGATACTTACCAATATATTTATAAGCTTTTCCCAGCTTAACCAGATGTGTTAAGGACTGTTCCACTATGCTTGCAGTCCACTGGTTGATGTTGTTGTGATTATAATCTTCACCACCTAAAACACCATCTACACACTAAAACGGCAGAAGACAGTTAAATTAGCCAAAAAGAACAATTTTTATACAAATTGCAGTAAATATTTATTCAAAACATAAAATATACTTATAGCTCAGTGAGGCATCTTAGAAAATATACACTTGGTAAATATTGATTATGCATTGTCTCTAATTGCTTAAAGGTTTTGAAAGAGTTTCCACACATATTATCTCAGTCTATGAGATACTATGAGCCATATAAAGATAAATATGTCATGGCTTCTGTGTAAAGAACTTAATCTAGCAGAGATGCTAATAAAAAAATTCTAATATCTGTAGCACAAGGAAGACTAATGATAAATTATGTCATAAAAAATTATGGTGGGGAAATAAAAAGGTGATATCAATTGGTTACCAAGTGGCTTTGAAACAGCTGGGATTTGAACTAGAGTTCACATGCTAGAAACATAGGCTGGGACTAATTTAAAAACATAATTCTTATGTATACTAATTATATTCTCATTCATACTATGTGATTGCTTAGCACATTTGCCACTGAAAGTAAATAAAGATGCTCTCGAAAGAGAAAGTCAAATATTGTAATTTCCCATAATCTTTAATTTCATCCACTTCTGACATCTGATTAAAAGCACTGGCTCTAGTATCACAATCCTAGGTTTTAAGGCCTACTTTGATACCTATCTGCTGTGTGACCTTTAGCAAGTGACTTAACCCCTTCAAATCCCTATTTTCCTAATCCTTATACTAAGGATAACAGCATCATCTTATCAAGTTGTTGTTAGGAGGAAATGAGACAATGAATACCAAGTGCTCAAACAGTGACTAGCACAGCATTAGCATGTAAACAATGTTAACTACTATTATCATATTGCTGCTGTTCTATTTTACATTTGAGTGATAAAGCCAAGATACTAAAGCACTCATTTTACAATCTAACACACACATGCAGCTTCATTTACTATAATTAGACTCATTTAATTCATTTTTAGAATCTAGCTTAATAATACACACATACACACACATGCAGCTTTATCATTAGACCACAGAAAAGATTTATAAAGGCACTAATACAAAATCTTAAGTTGGGTAGTATAAAATCTTCACTAATGATAAAATATAAAAGGAGAAATTAAATGTTTTAGAAGCATTGACAAAAGTAATGTGGCTCAAATTACTCTCCTAGAAAGCTCAATACCATGACAAAGTAGGTAGGGCAGTGGCTTAAGGATCAGGGGAATAGGATTTTAATTCTGGCTTTATCATTACTAAGCTGATGACCTTTGGAAAAACCTATTTCTCTCTTGTGATCACCTTTCCTTAAGGATAAAGTAAGAGCACTCATTTTTCTTTCAGGTTATTTAATAGGACCACTCCAAGTTTTGCTCTAAACAGCAGAAAACACCATGGGGTGTGGGTGCCACTGTAAATAGCCCTGCTAATTACTATTAATTAACATTTAGCCTAATTAATTACATTAACATGGAGGCCCACTAGACAATGCAGTCCTTAAGCAGCTCTGTGTTCTCAGCACCAAACTCAGGCCCTGGGCACTTAGCAGGTATTTAATAAATGTTTGTTGTTGAAGCAATGTTGGCTTTGATATACTCTCTGGGTATCTTAAATTAAATACAATTTAGACTAAGGTCCAAGTCAATTTCATTTGTGGCTCGCTTTTTCTTTGAAGGTTTTTTGAGGAAGCAATTTCTATTACTAACAATAAAGAAAATGTATGCATATTACTGATAAATGAATGTCCCTGAGTTCAGCAGGAAAAACATATTAGCATAGGGGTTCAGGGCAAGAAATCAAAGGAAAGAAAATAAGATCAGTAAGGAAATCAGAAATAACTGCTGAAATTATGTAATCATCTAGGAAGTGCTAAAATGTTTTAAAATGCTGCTCATTCTCAGGCCTTCCCCATGTCTCAATGGAAATGTTTCAATGGCAGAAGACTGGTTCATGTGAAGAGGAAAGAGGATAGACATGTAGCTGCAAATAACCTGCAGCAAAGCTGTTTCTTTGCAGTCTCATACTTCATATAAAAATTCAAGAGAAGCTTGCTTTTAACTACATAATGCATCAGAGTTTGTTTTTTAAAAAAACCGTTTTCACTTAAATTACTTATATTACTTAACTCCGTCTCACAAATATTCAATGAAAACTGATGCTCTAAAATACATCCAGTGACTTCTAGCATCACCTGGCCACTGCCAAGTATGTATTTCCCAGTTGAAAAAGCATGATTCTTTTAATTTGATACAATATTAAAGTAACAGGCATATGGTTTGAAAAATCCAGTGGAACAGAAAAACTTAGAATGAAGAGTCCCCTCCCCACCCTTTCCTTTCCCATTCCCAGTCCCATTCCCCAGAGGAAACCCATCAGTGTACGACCATTTTTATTTCTTCTAAGGGTTACTTACATATCTCCAAATAATGTTTATGTCACTATTTCTTGATTTATGAATTATAGGCAACATACATAACTCCTACTATGATAGATGAAAATTTGGTTCCCTCAGGCCACCGGCCCCCTTCTCTCAATATAGTGAAATCACAATTTTTTTTAACTTAAATATATTTACACTGTTAGAAACTTGTTTCCTTTCCACTATGGGTATTTTCTTCCACACAGAGGATTGTTCTTTAACATTCCTGGCCTCTTGTCCTGTCAGTTATTCCTCCCTATCGAGGTGGAATGAGTTACCTGGTTGGTGGGTGCCATCGTTTTAACATCTCATTTGGCAGAGCCAGTCTCCCAAATGTGTTGAACTTGGGCTTTAGTTTCTCCTTCCCGCTCCACCCAAACCAATGAAAGGCACCAGCCTGAACAAGCGTTTCTCTCTGCTGACTCAAACTTTCTCTTGGATGCCTTTTCCCAGGGCTGAACTGAATGGGAGTTAGCAAAACAAGCTACGATCACCCACCTAGTTTTTATAAATAATAAAGGTGATATTTTGTTCTCTTTCTATTGGCTCTTTTTTTCTTTTCATTGGCTCAGAACTTAAGCAAGGAAGAAGGCACTATCTAAATAGAATCCCAAATAACCCAGTATTCTTTCTTTCATGTTCCATCAACCAAGGACAGTCTTTCCTGACTTTCCACTTTGAAAATTAAAATCACTCCCTTCTCATTATCTCCACTCCCTCTTCCACCTCCCAGTTTCCCTCATTTGTGCTTTTGCATTGTAAAGGTATCAGAAACTTTTGCATTCTACTTTTAATAATTAAATATTCCTGAGCTACATAGATAGAATGCATAATTCTGAAGTATTAAAATATGGCAAGATTTTCAGGTGCCTGTCTAGAACTTGAGTTAATTCTAGTTGTATAAGGCCAGACCTTGGTAAGGTGTTAAAAAATACCTTACCAATACTGTAGTCTGTATGTGATACCTCTAAAATAATGAAAGTTCCCTTGCCAGAATTAATTCCCAAGGATAATTTCTATTTGCCTAAAAGGAGTTTCAAATACTTTTCTTAAAATTTTGATTTACCATCATATCAATGTTTAAAAGATGTTAAGTGATCATTTTTCCTATTATACTGGGCAAAAAAGTGTACATGCCCAAGCAAATATTTCTAGGACTTTGTTATCTATTTTATAAAATATACATATACATTATACATATGCTTTGTAAAAGTCTATATGTGTGTACATATATATATACATATACATATACTTTTATAGTGTTAACATTTAAAATAATGTTTGCCTTCTGGAATAAAAGTTCTTTTATCCAAAAGACAGGGCATCATTTTTAAACCAGTTTTCTAGACTAAGAAAATCCTTAAACATCTCTTTCAGAGTAAGCCCCAAGATGCCGATAGCACACAAAAAGCATAGAAGCACCCCTATAAAGAGTTAGTGGATAAATATTTAAAATCTTGTTCTTGGCCGGGTGCAGTGGTTCACACCTGTAATCCCAAAACTTTGGGAGGCCGAGGCAGGTGGATCACCAGAGGTCAGGAGTTTGAGACCAGCCTGACCAATATGGTAAAACCCTGTCTCTACTAAAAGTAAAAATATAGCTTTTAAAAATCTCGACCAACACAGCAAGCTTCTGGAGAAACAACATGTATAACTCACCTCTTTGACAATATTGTGGGCTTCCTCAGCATTGAAGCCAACCTAAAGGGAAAACAAAAGGTAAAGCCGCTTTCAACACAGACTTGCAGATAAATGACGCTACACAGAATACCCTAGGCTGGCCTAGACAGGTGGTAGTGACAGGAGACCACAGTGATAAAGAGCATCAGGTCTACAGAAGGGGCCAATCTTGCCCCTAAACACTTAAAAACACTGAATGCTTTCCCTACCTACCTCCCTGGAGATTGACTCATGAGGTCTGGGGTAGAGCCTGCAAGCCTATATTTTCTTAAAAAAAAAGTGCTTTATACTGGTGATCCTAATGAACATCCTAGATTAAGAATCATTGTATTGTAAAACTCAGGAAATAAGAAGTGGCTATAAAGGTGTTATGTGTTATGAGAATATAGAAATAGTCTCAGCTAAGTGAAAGAATAAAGTGGTCCATAAGAAAAGAATGCTTAATAGATTATTTTCAATTTTGTTTTTAACTTATGCTAGGCAAAAATTCCTAGGCAAAAATGTCTTTCCTAAATTAAAGATGATGAAAATACTTGATAACTCAAGATTAACATCACTTTAATGCTATAAAGTGGTCTGACAACTTAGTCTTTTCTTTGGAGTCCCCATCGATAGCAGGAAGATAACAACTGACATCATGGGGCTCTGGTGAGGGCTGGGAAAGCCTGAGTCAGTAAGCAAGGCTTGTAATCCATAAAGCGCCTCCTTCCAGACCACCCAGGCAAGTTACCGGGAGTGGGAGTGGCAGTGCCACCAGGACCCCGACACCGCGATCGACAGGGGCTGCAGCACCTGCCCTGAGGACGCCAAGGGGCTGAGGAAGCAGGGGGAAGACCCGTTTTCGAGGCCCGCCCGGTAGAAGGGCGGCGCCCGCCACCCCATGCCCACTCCTAGAACCCAAGTTAGGCCTCGTCCTCCCAACCCTGCCCCCACCCCACCGTCTGATCCGCGCCCTCCTGGCCATCCCTGCCACCCCAATCTCAGGACTTCTGGGTGGGGAGAACGAGTCGGGCGGGGCGGATCCCGGGCCCAGGGGAGAGGACCGGGGCTCGGAGGACGCCGCACCCAAACTCTTGGGGCCGCCCATGCTGGGAGACCACCCGGCAAGAGCCCTGCGCAGAGGAAGGCGGGAGCGGGGGGCGCTTTCAGGTAGCCAAGGGGCGGTACCTCGTCGCAGTGGCGATGGTACTCCTCCATGGTAGCGCTGGCTCTCCCTGGGGGCGGAGCGACGCGCCGGTGGAGCACCGCGGCCGCGCAGTGGCCTCCGGGGAGGCCCCACCCCCGTTTATGGCCTGGGGCCTTTCCCTTCGCAATCCCCGCCTTTGTGTCGCAGTGGCGTCACCTGGCAACGCAGGGCTAGCTCCGGGCAAGGCGTCACGTCAGGCCACGCACCTCTTCCTTGCTTCCTCTGCCCTTTCTGGAAACAAGGGATGAATGTTAAAGAACTGGGAATGGCGCCAGTGTTGATCAGATGGGGAGACCTAGTGGCAGTTAGCCTAGACTCCACACTATTGGTTGAGTGCCCACTGCTGTGATTATTTGCATGTATTTGTCCATTCACCATCATCTGGCACATAAAAGTGTAGTTAATGTCATGATACACCAACCACTTTGATTTGTCCACTTACTAGCTATGCTACTTGGAAAAATTCACCTCCCACAGCTTCAGTTTTCTCATATGGAAACTTACTGTCATGCCTATTTCACTACTGGTTGTAAGGATCAGATGAGATGCTATATACACAACCCCTAAAGTAGATGCCTCTCAGCTAGACAACAATGGCTACATTTATTTTAAAGTTATTAATTTCCAGATAATCCTAATCACTTCCTCAAAACCTCATGATCAGCCAGAAGAGTTCTTCTGTCACTGCTTTTATCAAGATGAAACTGAGGTACAGGAGAATTTAATTTGCCCAATTTTCTACATCCAGTAGGGTGTAGAAAAGGGACTTGAGCTCAAGTAGTCTGCTAGCAGAACCCAAGCTCTTAACCACTGTATTAGTTTCCTATTGCTACTGTAACAAATTACCATAAATGTAGTGCCTTGAAGCAGGACACGCTTGTTCTCTTACAGTTCTGTTACCGGTGGAGGGTGTCCAGGTTATTTTAGCTTTGAACAAATAATTGGACAAAAGGCACAAACAAAGCAAGGAAAGAATGAAGCAACAAAAGCGGATATTTACTGAAAATGAAAGTACACTCCAAAGGGTGTGAGTGCGTGAAGAAGCCGTTCAAGGGCTGGGATACAGAATCTTCTCAGGTCCAAATACTCCCTAGAGGTTTACCATTGGCCACTTCGTATTTATCCCATGTAAATGAAGTGGTGGCCCACAATCACAGGGTGAAGTGAAGTTACAAAGGCCACACTCCTATGCAAATATCTGATTGATTGCAAAAAGCAACTAATCAGAGGTACTTTCAATTTCCCATCTGCCCTGCAGAAAATGTGGGGGTTTGCAAATGGAATAGCCTCAGGTCCTTTTGTTACTTAGGCCTAGAAATTTCGTTTTCCTTTCAATTTAGTTCTAGGAAGTCAGTCTGAAACAGCCTTAAGTTCCCTGCCTCTTGATCCTATTCTCCTGCCTCAGTTCTGGGGGTCAGAAGTCTAAAATGGGCCCATAGAGCTGCATGACTTCTGGAGGCTCTAGGGAAGCCTGTGTTTCTTTGTTTTTTCCAGCTTCTAGAGACTGCCTGCATTCCTTGGCTCATGACCCCTTCCTCTAAATTCAAAGCCAGCAGCATCTTTTCTCCTCTTTGACCTCTGCTTCAAAGGAGATGTGAGGCATCTCTACAAAGGAGAGATGTATGACTCTCACCCTCCTGTTTCCCTCTCAAGATTCTTAACTTAATCACATGTGCCAAGTTTCTTTTGCACTCTGTAACGTATTCACAGATTCTTAGAATTCAGATGCGAACAATTTTGAGGGTGAGCATTATTCAGCCAACTACAACACTTTTCTGTTTTGCTGCCCAGAATCAAAGTTGGAAACCATTAGTCTTCTAGTCCAACTCCCCTATTTTACAAGTAAAACTGAAGCTGAGGAGATAAAGTAACAAGGCACATAGATGTTAACTGGACTCCTAGGCTTCTGATTCTCAGGCTCTTATTTTATGAACTTAGAACCAAATAGGGTTGTTTACTTGACAATATGGGGTTTGTTATTGGTTCTCCTTAGTTGTGGATCATTCAGGGTTACTGCAGAAGTGACTAATTCATAGAGGAAGCACATCCTCTTTCAGGATTTTCTTTTTACCAAAGTTTTCATCCTATGAGCAACTCCAGCATTCCATTCATAAGAAGAATTCGTAGTGTCTTTGTGAACATCAGTTTTATTTCCCTAAAGAAATCTACCTATGCCTGGGTGAGTTAAACCCTGAAGTTACCTAATCTTAACACTGCAAGGGCTACACCAGCACATCTCAAGTTTGTATTATGTGATCATTCATGATGCATATAAAGTGAGATGATGAAGTCTTGTTCCAGTTACCATTCCTGTGTAACAAATTACCCCAGAATTTAGCAGCTTATTTATTATATTATGCTTATGGATTCTGTTGGTCAGAAATTTGAACAAGGCACAGCAGAAATAATTTGTCTTTGCTCTGTTTCTGATACCTCAGGTGGTGAGACTCAGAAACTAGAAGAAATTCAATGGTGGGGACTAGAATCATCTGACGACTTGCTCATTCACATGTCTGATACCTAGGCTTAGATGAATCAAATATTAGCACTGTCAGCTGTAGCAACAAACACATGGCCCCACTGAGTGGATTGGCTTTTTACCATTATGGCAGCCTTAGAATAGCCAAATACCTTACATGGCAACTCAAAGCTCCAAGCATGAGTGTTCCATCAAGCATGGCAGAAGATTTGTCACCTTTTATCACCTAGTGTCACAAATTACACAACAGTCCTTCTATCATACTCTAATCGTTGAAACATTCACTCAGATTCGAAGGGAGGAGACACAGAATCCACTTCTCAATGGAAGAAAAGTGACAAATAATTTGGGGGGCCATGCTTTAAAACTACAGTGGGCTTATTAATTAGCATCCTCTGGTTGCAAGTGACAGAAAACCCAATAGGATGAGCTGAAATAATAGCATTTAGTTTCTTATATAACCAGACTGATATGGTTTGGATCTGTGTCCGCACCAAACCTCATGTTGAATTATAATTCCCAGTGTTGGAGGTGGGGCCTGGTAGGAGGGAGAAATATTCGTTTCTCATGAATAGGGTAGCACCATCACCTCAGTGTTGTTCTTGTGATAGTGATAGTGAGTGAGTTATTATGAGATCTGGCTACTTAAACATGGTAGCACCTTCCCCTCTCTCTCTTCTTCCTGCTCCAGCCATGTAAGATGTGCCTGCTTCCCCTTTACCTTCCACCATGATGTAAGTTTCCTGAAGCCTGCCCAGAAGCAGGAGCCACTCTGCTTCCTGTGCAGCTTGCAGAACCATGAGCCAATTAAACCTCTTTTCTTTATAGATTATCTAGTCTCACGTATTTCTCATTGCTATGAAGCAATGAGAGAACAGACTAATACACAGACATACAGAGGCAGAGATACTCTATGTTTGTTTAGTTACCCAACAGATCTTGGGGACTTGCGTGGTTTTCATCTTTCTATGCCAATATCCTCAGTATATCAGCAACATTTAGCCTCATGGTCATACATGGCTGCATTAGTTCTGGTATCTCTAGGAACAAAGACATCACATTCAGGAACAAGATGAGCATTTCCTGGGGTTGATCAGATTTTCTTAGGAAAGCAAATCTTTGCTTCAAGTCTCTAGGAGTTTCCTCCTCATGTTCTATTGGCCAAGATTGGGACATGTGACTCCAGCCAGGCAAAACATATGGGACAATAAATGTAGATGTTTTCATTTTGTATGGTGAAAAGTGAGTTCTGCCAGCAAGAAAAAAAATGGATGTAAAATAAATGTTGGTAGGTCAGTCCTTTCCAAACTTTTCCATGCTATGGTCCACATAGAAGATAATACTTACATGGTACATTGAGGTAAACTTGAGGGGCTTTGTGGGCATCTTTATGGGGTTTGGTTAAAAAATATTTTCTTTATGTTATACAATTATATGAAAAAACGAAATAGAAAGGGTGTTAAAATTGAATTTGTAAAAACTTCCAAATAAAATCTCTTTCAATGCTTTAGTGAGACCCTCAATCTTGCTTTCACCCATGTAACATTTTATATCTGGCTCTATGTATTAGGTAGTAATAAGCAATTCCTATTAAAGAGTTTTTAATAATTATTTTTCTCTAAATCTAAATAAATTATATTGTTGAGAAAGATTCCCCATAGAAGTAGATGATAAAAAACATTTGGACCCACTTTACTAGCCACTCAAATTATATTTAAAGGCTTTTGTAATGGAAGACTATGTAATTACGACCATTCCTTTCACTGATAATTACAAAGGTTGAACAAAATGTAATAGACATTTGCTCAAAAGAAATGGATTTTTAACAAGATGTGGAAGAATTATGGATCTAAGACCTAGAATAATGAAACCCAGAAAGATGAGCATGGCATTTGGGATAACTTTTTACTTCGAGGTGAGAAGATGCTAAGTATTTTGCTTATGGGCCAAGCAGTAAAATAATTAGACTGCATGGACTGCAAAGGAGGATGATTCTAGTAAACAATCATGCTTTGGGTTGAAACCCCATGGATTAAATCGTGGAAGTGAAACACCCAAACTTGATCTAAGCTCAGTTTTAAATTACCTAAACCCCAAAATAGAATTAAGGTGATCTGGCATTGCTAATGCCTCTAGCCAACTTCTAGAAGCAAATGCAAATTCTCTCTGAAGGAAGAAAACATTATCTTAGGTCTCAAATCAGACGTGATTTTTTTCACATACATCAAGTGGACAATAAAACATAACTAGACACATAACAAGACAAAACAACATTATAGTAAATCAACAGACAGTGGAAACAGCCTAACCAGGGATGAAGATTATGGAGTTATCAGAAAAGGACTTTAAAATAACTATGCTTACTATATTCAAAGAGATGAAAGACAAAGTTGAGAATTTCATTCAAGAACTTGAAATTATAAAAAAATATACAAATAGAATTTCTAGAAGTAGAAAGTACGATAACCAATTTTTAAAAAAAGAATGGGTTCTATAGTGGTTCAGACAAAGCTGAAGATTTAATGAAGTTTAAAAAAATTGGACAGAATAAAATAGTGAAAGTGAAGCACAGAGACATAAATGAATGTAAAATACAGAAGAAAGCGTACAGATAAAAGTAATACTATGAGAAAGTTTAACCTACATAATGAGATTTC